CCCCACTTGCAGGAAAGTGTATCAAGGAAGTTTGAATACTTACACACTCGTGCCTGTCTAAAATCATTGAATTCTTAAACTTAATTTTTTATATTTTGGATTCCATACTTTAAATAGGAGTTCAAACAACATGATTGGAGATATTCTAAAAACACTAGCTCCTTTCCTAAAGGTATACCTATAGCACAGTTTGTGTGTGGTTTGTTATGATATTATAATATTGTAATGATTATGAATCGAATACTGCATTGGAGAGAATATTTGCTTCCAAGCATGACATCTGTTGTAAATTAAATTATTTTTTTTACAATAACTTAATAATATCTTGCAAGCTGATTGGTTATTTTTCATCATCAATAAGAGGACAGACAGATAAAGCTGAAGTCAACGAGTGCGCGCTCTTTCTGTTGATTGTTTTGATCGCTAAAAATTAGAAGTTTTTATCGTTTTTGTTATTGTAAAAARCAAATAGACATCAGTTTTTTGAGTATCTGTCCTCTTATTGACAATAAATTTCGTCTTCGTGCATTGTCAAAGTAGTATTCGGATTCACATGCTTTTTGGATCTTTTTTGTAATTTTTCTCATTCGACTGTAAAAATAAGGCTAACCATCTTAAATTTGAAAGAATATAAAATGCCCAATTTTTCTAGTTTATAGAAACTGTTAAAGCGTTTTATGAAACCTCATTAAACAAAAGTAAATATGTCTCATTTTGTTACTGACAGTTGTATACAGCATACATCGCAAACTTTGACAAGTCCAGTGAGACATTATCAACTTGGACTAAGAAATCTCCAAAATTTGCTGCTATCATTGAAGACATTCAGGTTAGTATAAATAAATTAATCATTCTGAGTTGTAAAATATGTTCAAATTTAATAAGTGGTTTGATTTGAATTAATCATAATTTTGCCATGCCATTTATTGGTACCGATGTTGTTTTTTAGAAAACAAGGGAGTGTGAAAACCTGACCTTAGGACACCACATGCTTGAACCAATTCAGAGGGTTCCAAGATATAAACTGCTACTAAGAGGTGTGTGCTGTAGTTTTAGAAAATTTCCTTATCATCCAGGACTTTAAGAGGCGGGGGGGTTCATTTTTGCAAATCTCGGCACAACAATAACGCTCTCTTGCATCATCATTTTTCCCATGAGGCACATCACTGGCCTAGCGGCACTCCTGATAAGGATAACCTATCCACCAGTCCAGGCCTGATTATTGTGGGCGAAGGTGCTAATTTTCAAAAAGCGGACCTACTATACTTTTATTCATTTATTTTTAAAAAATATAAAAAAGGTACCAGCCGGTTGGGGGTGGGGGGGGGGGGTTCATTTTCACCCAATAAACCCTCCCTAAATCTGCCACAGCATTCGTTCTCGATATCATATTCAATTTTATAACTATATATAAATATATGGATCATAATTTCTAAGGGGTCTAGTAAATGGCTTTTTTTGTTCCCAGGATGTTTTTAAACCACTTATTCCCCTCTCCATCATTACGCTGCCTTAAAAGATAGCTTGAAGTCAAACCAATCTTGTTTAGAGGACAATCAAATATTGATTTCAGGCCACAGTTGGACCTGAAATGGTATGGGCGTAGCGAGGTTTCGATTATAGGAGGGTAATTAATGTATCATTTTCCTGCCAAATCCACAGGAATTCCAAATGAATTAATTAAATTTTGGTACCGAAAGCAAAACTTTTGGGGTAGTATTTGACTTTTATTGTATGTATACCATGTCTTTTGAATTATAGATTACCTGTCTAAGTTACCAGAGGATTCTCCAGACCATAAGAATTGTCAAGGTAAACTTAGTAATTTATTGTCCTTCAGCCATTTACCCTGCATCACATTGATGCAGTTATCTTGATCCCATTGCTAAGTTCTTTCTTATATTTTTTTCTTATCAAATGCCTAACTTTCATCATAGTTAATGGAGTGAAATGGTTTGGAAACTCCATAAAACAAAGCTATTGTTTTGCATTTGATGTTGAATCGTACCATCACATGTTACTGACGGTGTACGATGAAGCAATATAGCTGAAAATGCTCATTTCCTTATTTTTTTCATGTATAAACACTTTGAAAGTAAAAACTTTCATTCCATAACCAAAAACCATGCAAATAAGTATTTCCGCGCAGATACAGTTAAGTTACTAGATGATAAATAAGAAAGCATTAAAAAGGGCAATTTCATTTTCAATAAACAATTAATATTAATCATATAGGATTAATTAACAAATAACACATATTTTAGAACGATCTTAAGGGTAAGAAACTTTTATATTCCCTAATACTGTGAACAAATGGAAAACCTTTTCCTTCACTGTGCACTGTCAACGTCATATAGCATTGGATAAATACGAACAAAAACATAAAACAATAGGTTTCCTAACCATTCCACTTCATTAACTATGCTTTCATGAAGTTTCCTTGTTGTCCTTCAGTGTTTTATCTTTATTAATTTTTATTACAAGATGCTATGGAAATCATATCTGAAGCTGCTGCTCATGCTAATGACAGCATGAAAAAAATGGTATGTCATTTACCTCACATTGCTTGCGAAAAACTTTTACTTTACTAAATAATTAATGGTATTATTCCATATCAAAATACAGGAGAGATTTAAGAAGCTGTTAGAACTCCAAGACAGACTGCTGGAAGGCAATGACTTGATTACTGCTAGTCGAGTAAGTATACTGATAGTACCATAACTATTTTAGTCTGTACTTACAGACTTTTAAGACTGGATGAATTGAGAATTTTAGTGTTATTTTGAGTTGATTCCCCCACCAGGAAATAACTTCTATAATATACGGAATCAAAATATGGCGACCAATTTGAATAAGTATTGTTCTGCACTGACTAGCCACTGACTAACCTCGTTTATATTTTAATTTTTAATTAGCTTAGTTAATTATGTATTATTTTTTATTAGTGAGCGCTTTGAGCAATTAGTGGATTTAGCGCTATATAAATAAATATTATTATTATTGTTGTTGTTAGAGTGAAGTCATTAAACCCGTGAAATAGATGTTAGACTAATAGACTTTAGTAGACGTTTTCTTTTGTGTCTTTTTGACTATTACACGTTGCCTAGTATTTTTTATTTCACGGGTTAAGTGCCTTCGATCTAACTTGGAAACAAAAAAGCGTGTTCACATGTATAAGAGGCTAATCAGTCGTAAGTCAGTGTAGAACAATAGTTATTGAGATTAGTCGCATATTACGATTCGGCGTATTCTGTTAGTGTGTCTTTGTGATATTGTAACTGATGTTTTGTATCATGTTTAAGTAAAGTTTTTACTGTTTATCAACATCGTTTTTTTTGGTTTGCAGCAATTCGTCAAGGAAGGTGACCTCATGAAGGTGGCTGCTCGTAGTGCTGCAGGACACCAAGAGCGAACTTTATTACTGGTAGGTTTTATCTAATTTATCCACTCTTTATCGTCTTTGCTTATAAATCCATCCATTCTTTCATCCCATCTAATCCCATCCATTCAACTCTTAATGATTTACAATGATTTTAATTATAAAGTTATGAAAGTTATACCTCAATGAACTTATTTTCTAATCATTTCATTGTTTCTTCAGTTCAACGATCTCCTCCTATGCTGCGCAAAGGTCCCTGGTACTAACAAACTAAAAGTCAAAGTACAAATGGATCTGGATGGGATGGAAATAGGAGATGCAGACGAAGACGTCGAACTCTGCAACACCTTCCGTATCACGAGTAAACAAAGAGTCATTGACTTCTCTGCTAGCTCAGAAGAAGACAGAGAAGCTTGGATTAAAGTATTAACCGAAACTATAGAAGAGCTTATTCGAAAGCGACAAAGTTATAAGAGGGGTATTCAGAGCAAACCCATCAGTGAGTGTGACCTTGGAAAGAAAGCACCTGTCTGGGTGCGTGACGAAGCCGTGACAATGTGCATGTTGTGTGACACGATGTTTACACTCACTAGAAGAAGACACCATTGTCGTGCCTGTGGAGGCATCTTTTGTAATGCTTGCTGTCACGCCAAGGCAGCGTTGGAATACACAGGGGGTAAACAAAGCCGCGTGTGTCAAACGTGTCACAAAATCATGGGAAGCAAGGGAAGCATTTCCAAAGAAAAAGGCGAGGAGAAAAAGACGTGGGATACCCGAAAGATTGGCGGCCATACTAAAGTACTGCTCTCTGGTTTCCTGAACTACAAAGGTGGATCGGAGAAAAACTGGGTCAAGAGGTGGTGTGTTTTGTCCGACAACTTCGTACTTTATTGTTATAAAGCTAAAAAGGTACATTTCTGTTTTTGTACATTATGTGGAGTTTACTTTAGTAACGAGTAATTAAAAACTGCTAAAGCCTTGGGGAAACAAGGAAATGTTTGCTCTCAAATATTTTTTTGCTTCTGTGCGGAAATATCTATTTTTTCGTTTAAGACACGATACCTATATTGTTTTGGCAAAGAACCAAAAAGGGTTCAGTGTAAACTATCGTAAAAAAAATTTTGCTTCTAGCAACTAAATAGTGAGTCTCCAAACAAATGATAATACGTTGCTGGAAGCTAGTTGGGGAAATTAAAAGACGACTCTGCCAACAGGACCCGTAAAGATGCGCGCGCTTAAAAAATGTTTCCCCAAGACTTTTTGTTGATAGACTTATCCAGTCTCTAATTTGATGATAGATTATTGATCTGGCTGGAAGTTATCAATGACCAGCTAGTTTTGACCTTATTCTATTGCTACTCAAAATACACGGGACAGTAATAAACCATGATGTATTCTTGGTGTGCAATACAATTAAAATACTGACCGTTTTCAGGACACTAAAGCAGCTTTTTCCTTACCTCTTCCTGGTTACGTGGTGGACAAACCTAACCTAGTAAGTACAACTAAATAAAAGTAAGATCAATTTGTCAGGAATTTCACTGGCAGGGTTTATTTTACGTCTGCACATTGATCGATTGCTTTTTTTTTTCTCTCTCTCTCTCTCGTTTTAATATCTTAACGTGAAGGTAGCAGTCAAACAGTGTTTTTAATTTAATTACAAGACATTCTATTGGGGAATTTTCTAAGCTGTAACGAACGAGAAAAATTCGTTTCTTTTTTTTAAAAATTACATCTGAGATTCAAAGCGGTCGAGATGAAACAGTCATAAAAATGTAAAAAGCGTCATTTTTTTTATTCAATAAAGCAAATATTTTCCGCTTCTTTTAGTCCATTGTGCAAACGTCTCCATTTCCCTCTCCTTTACGAGAAAGATGCTGTAATCCAGGATCCAGGAATTTTAGCAGGGGGGTGACTATTACAAATGTTTTACCAGGAATGCGAGGAAAAGGGGAGGGGGTTGGCTACTGAGAATAATATTAAGAAATTTAAGCAAAAGGGGGTAGGCCAGCCACCCCCTACACCATCCCTGGATCCGCCCCTGGCCATGGTAATCATAGCAGTAGTCTAGTTGCATGGCAAATACCGACTCCTTGCATAACCACTCTGGCGAAGCATGTTAACGTTGTTGCAAAGAGATTAGCAAAAAGGAAAAACGTTTTTCTGAGTGGTAATATTCGAGCATGCGCTGCTAAAAACTTGCTTCGTACACTTGGCTCTGTAACAAAAGCTTCTTAAAAATCAAATTAATCAAAAGTACCCAATGGGAATAGAGATAGGAAATCACTCGAAAGGCTAGATTTCAATCGTTAAAACTTCTAAGTTTCCCACGCACATATCTCGGGTTACCTAAGGTTAATTTACTTTTCCGCTAATGTCATCTTTTTTGTTATAGGCCGATGATATAGACAAAAAGCTTGCATTTAAGCTCCATCACAAGAATGTGGTTATACATTATTTCGCCTGGGATGTAGAAGAAGCGTTAGAAAGGTAGAGATTTCATGTATCATAACATGTCCAAACTCTCACAAATCAGTGTGACGAAGGGATGATTCTAAATGCTTTATTCATGAAGTGAATATTAATGAATCAATGAAAGAAAATATCGGTGAAAGAAGAGCCACTTTGAATATCTGTTGTTAGGGACCGGTCATTGTTTACAGGGAGAGTGA